GGGACGCTGCTTGAAAGCCATCTGGAGGTACATGACCTTGTCGGAGATATTGGGGTCGTGCGTGATCGGCAGGATGGTGGGCCGATCCGAGATCTCCATGCCCTGGTGTGCCCATGGATCCAGGGGAAGAGTTCCCCCCCCAAGTTCATCCACCTCGCCAGTGTCGATGTCCCCGCCTCTGGATTATCCGAGGCCGAGACCGGAAGTGAGCCCAAGGTCAGACCTGCCAACGCTTGTTGGCCCGCCTTCAGCCTTCGGGACTGGCGCTTGTTGTCCCCCGGCGTGCTGGGAGAAGGTTCCCTTGGACGCCTCGGGGGGGTCGTTGGGTTAGCCTGGGGCGTCATGCCTCCCGGCCTCAGCGCCTCCAGGACGGGTCCCGCTCGGCAAAGGATGGCCGCTGCGAGACCCTGCATCATCTGCTCCGGGTACCGGCTGAGGTCACTGGAGTTGAGCTTTTCTCCCCTGGGGTGAGACCCGTGGTTGCAACGCAGGTCATGCCAATGGTGGAGAGGAAGGTCCGTTGACAACGCCGTGGACTTCACAACCACCTGGCCCAGGCGGCACTCATCGAACTTGATGAGGGAGTGGTGGAGTGCACTCGCCCATTGAACGTAGGCCCGCGTGACCCAGATCGATGAGCACCTTGCTGCGCTCGGGCTCTTGCTGCACTCCATCGGGTCCATCGGGTGCTCCAGGAAGGAGGAGCCAACCTGCGGGACCGTTAGCTGACCTAGCCCCTTGTAGGCCAGCGAGGTCAGGTACATCTGTCGGAGCATGAGCACGCTGTCATTGTCCGTGTCCTCCCTGACCCGGGGCTCCAAGCCCCTCACCGGCGGCAGGCCACCCGGTTTGGGGAACCACCTGAGGATGCTCCACGTCCTGCAGTTGGGGCCACCTCCCACCAATGCGACCTTACCCGCCATGGCCATGGAGCACATCGTCGAGTAAGGCTCCTCGCCCAGCATGTCCTGGCCCAGGTCTCCACCCTTTCTCCTGATATCCACCGCCCAAATGTACTCTGAGAAGGCCGGGTTGTAGGCGTGGAGGTAGGCATCCAGGGCCCCCGCATCATCCTTCCCGGCGTAGAGCAGGATGAGGGACGGCTTTGAAGACCCCGGCACTGGCCTCGGCGTCCACCCCAGTCTGAGCCTCAGTCTTTCCGGGATGTCCTGCATCCATGGGAAGGTGGGGCTTGCCCCCCCTAGGGATTCCGTGCTACCTTTGTCTGATCCCCCCGTCATCTGTCCCCGGGCTTGATGCTTGCCCTGACAGTTCTTCCCGCCCTTGGAGCGCCCCTTGCTGGGCGGATCCTCACCTCTGGGTTTCTCTGGGGGGTCTACCCACTGCCTCGGTGGGTGCGGGGGAAAGGGATGCTTCCGCCCTTCTGGAGTCTTCTTCGGTGGAGGGGCTTCCGGGGCCGGTGGCACCCTGGAGAAGTCCCCTCCTATCTGAGGCCGTCCTGGCCTCCCCCGCTCTGTCTGCCATCCGCTGTGGCTCTGGTGGGGCCCCCTCTGTGTGCACTCTCGCACTGGTGGCCTGTGATCCCAACTGAGACCGGGAAGTCACGGGGCCTATGGCACCCTGGGTGGCCTCCTGTCACTTGGGAGGTGAGGGCATGCCTGTGGAGCATGCTTCGATGGGGGGGCATCACACACCCACCCATCCTTCCTGACCGGGCAGTTGTGGGAACGGCCGCACGATCCCGAACTTGTTGTGGAGGTGATGCAGTACGCCACCCCTTTGGGATTCTTGAAAGCCCAGTGGTCCGGCCATGGAACCGAGGGGGAGTTGGGGGACTTCCCTTTGCCGCCCTTGCCCTTCTTCTTCGGCTTCTCCCACTGAGTCTGCCACACCTTAGGTGCCTTGCCCTTGTTCTTCCCCTTCTCCGGCGCCCTGTAGAGGTGCTCATAGACCTCCCGTTGCCAGAAGAGGAAGTCGCCCCTGATATTCTTGGGGGCATCGGAGAGGGTGGTGCCCTGGTGCACCATCTCGTGGATCTTCCTCCACGCATTGCGCTCTGCAAACAGCAAGGTGGTGTCACTCGGGGGAGGCCTTCTGCCAGCGATGTCCTCCCCATAGAACCAGTCATACAAATCGTCCAGCTCCGCCTTGGTGACTTTCAGGTTGCCAAACTGTGGCAGTGCCGCCGTGCACATCAGGAGCGTCGTCCTGAAAGTTTGGTGCAAACGTTCCAACTGGCGCCGGGATGTGGGGTGGCTCCTCACCTCTTCTTCATCCTCCCTGTCCCAGCCGTCCACCGTGATCTTCTTGTGGGTGGATGAGGGGCGTTCCCCTTCTTCCGGGAGCGCGCTCACGATGTGTTTTGCCGGGATGTAGCCCAGCTCACCCTTGGCAATCAAGCGCCACTGCTTCTTGAGGTAGCCATCACTCCCTTGGAACTCCAACCTCGGCTTCGGGGTCCCATGAATGGCCACGTAAGCATCCTCCAGCTGGCGCCTGTCACACAGGACCTCCAGGGGCGCCTTTGTCGGGCCCGCCT